CTTTAAATGCTGGAGATGGAGTGGCCCCAGAACAAAGACTCCCACACCAACCTTCCAGTGCCCGACAGGAAGTTGCACCATCCTTTACTTGAAAGTCTGTGGTTGTTTCCTGTTCAGAAAGTTTACACATAAAGGTTGGGTTCGTTACACTTCTTCCCATCCTCAAAATGGCAAGCACACATTCTGTTGGATTTACCTGGTTTCCATGGGGAGCCGTACATGTACATGTATTTCATAGAATAAAAACCAACTTGAGTGATAATTTTAGAAAGCATGTGAGAAATGATGACCGAATGCCTAATGTCAACTGAGTTTTTTAGTTGGATTGGAAATGCCAATAACTTTGATAATCAAAGGTTGATCAACCAATCACGTAAAAATCATGTAATTATAAGTAGTGGCATCCATCAGAACTCAGAAACTGTCCCTACTGAAACTTACACGTATGTCCTAATATCACTGCTGACCCCTAAAATTTCATTATTTTGAAGAGAAAGAAACAACATCATAAAATCTGAGTTCCAAATGTAACTACTAGCAACTGTATAAAATACCATTTTTATCAGGTCACATGTTTTTGCTTTCTGATTACTGAAGTGAAGGGAAAAATTACTGGTGGCCGTAGGCCTATATCATGGAACCTAGGCCTAGGCCTACTGTACCTCCAAAACTTTGGGCCCAACGTTCGTCCCGCTCCAAACGTGGAAGCCGGAGCGGACTTCTGGAGTAGTAGGTAAAAGAGAGTTAGGGACCAACCACCCTGTTTGCACGAGTTCAAGACCAACCACCCCGTTTCCACGCTTCATCAACTCAACCCTCCTGTGCCGCTTTCACCCGCGGGGGACTTTCCACAAACAACTAGTGACTGAGCTCGTGACTTCCCCAATTTTCAGTGTTTTAACCGTAACTCTGTTTCAGTAAAATGAAATTAATTTTACAACCATCTTAAGTGATGACTATTTAATAAACACCATGTCAAACCAAACCCACGGAGCTGTAATAAAAAATGAAATTTTTTTTCAAAAACCTATACATAAATAGAGACATGAACAGCCCCAAATCAAAACCATTTTTATCGACCTTTAACCGATTTAAGAAATCATTTTTATCTGACTTTGTCAAGCAGTATAACATTCCATTACTACCACCAAAGCGCAAATTACACACCAAGCCAGAACTAGTCCA